ACATCTTTATTTGTCCTTTTGTCACTGTTCTATCTCATCCCAGCTCTCTCTAGCTCCCTGTCCCCTCATCTCCCTGAGAATGATGTCTCCTGGCTGCCAGGGGCCTTCAGAGAGGATTCAGACCTGAGGCCAAGCCTTTGGCTGTGGCCTGCCCCCAGGAAAGGGAGTGGCAGAGGCCTGGCACCCCCCTGCTCCACTCAGGCCCTTAACCCTGCCAGACCAGGAACTCTCTGGGGAAAGGAGGCGTCAGTACCTCCACCAGAGGACAGTGAGGTCTCAATGCCCAGAGCAGCATCCCAGCCTCAGTCTGTGGTCTGCAAAGTGCGACAGTTCAAGCTCCCTGGCCTGCAGTCCCTGCCAGGCCGGTGGTCCACACTGTGACTCTGGTGACTCTCGAGTGACTTAGGACAAAGCCCTCCATCTCTCTAGGCCTAGTTCCTCTCTCTGAAGGAGGAGACACACAGCTCCCAGGGTGTGGTCGCCCGCTGCAGGCCTGAAACATCCTGGCTGCTCAGCGAAGGCTGCTTATTACCGGATGAGGGGACCTCAGGAAGTCTGAGAAGAATGGATTTAAAGTAGGATTTTATGTGGTGCAAAACATTTTTGAAATCCATGCATTAGTTTTCTCCTAATACACATTTGCCAGGACCTTTCTGAAGCCCTCTCGTACATGTATATTTTATGGGTTGGAACCGAGGCATTTGCCTACAGAAGGATCCAGGTTCCAGAAGCCGGGAGAGCTGGGGTTTAGATGGAAACTTAGGCCGCGTTCAGGGGTGTTCTCCGTGGCATGGAGAGGGCATGCCTGGCCGTGTCTGGAATGGGGGCAGCCCTGAACAAGCAGGCTAACGTGACGTATCTATGAATCCATGATTCAGGCTCAGCTGTAGGCCTGTGTCCTCATTCAGGAAATGGGATCGTGTGGTTCTTTCCTGAGAGACCAAGACTTGAATGGGAGACTGTGCCTTGCTCAGGCTTGAAAACTCAGACGACTGTAGGGGTTTGGCCAGGGCTGCCGCCGAGGCAAGGCACCAGTGTGAGGCCACAGGTCGTGGAGGGGACTGGGGCAAACCGGAAGCTCTGTGGATGGGGGCAGCCACTATTCTCAGGCCCACGGTGGCCAGGGCCTTCGTTCTCAGGGGAAGCAGGAAACCAGGAATTATGTATGATTTTTAAATTTAGCTCATCCTCTTTTTTTTTTTGAGGGAGAGAGATTTTTGCTATAGGGCGCGTGCACTTGTCGAAGAGACACACAGAAGGCAAGAAGTCACGGTGATGGCCATGCCGCAGTCCCTCCTCTATTCCTCTGTCAGGATTTGGGGCACGCATGCAAACGTGCACCCAGCCTACGTTTTTTTAAGTCGCCGGGTCCGGACCGGAACTAGAGTTGACAGTATAGGAGTCCAGCGATATAGCCATTACTCTGTCTACTGGTCCCAAATTGAGCTCATTCTTTAAAAACTGGTGCAAAGTGTGCGAGAAGGAGTGTACCAGTGACATCTCTGATGTAGGCCATGCGCTTGCCCAGCACGTGACAGGCGTTGTGGGTGGCGGCCATCGTCGCCCTGTCACTTGCTTGTGTTGTGGCCGTGGGCCCTGCACACTCTGGCCCTGCAGGCTGGGGGCGGGCAGGTGGGTCTGAGGGAGAATTCACCTGCTTTGGTCTTCCTGCTGCCTCTCCCTGCCCACCCCAGCAACCACCTTGGAGCTTTTTACTTTAGCCCAGGGCCCTGGCCAGACAGGAAGCAGAAAGGGGAAGCCCTGCTGGGCCTGATCACAGTGACCCCAGGACTGACCCCAGGACCGGGGAAACAGCCCCCGCTGAGAAGCAGGGAGCAGAGCTAGGCCTGCCCAGGCGATGCGGCCCTGGCGTGTCTGTTCTCCACGCTGAGCTTGGTCTTTCCATGAGCCAAAGGGTGGGCAGCCATCCTGGTCCGGTTCAGGTGGGTCGGGAGCAGCATGTTTCTGTGAGACCCGGCGAGGCCCCCTCCCTGAGCCTCCGTTTCCCTATCAGGACACATGGTGAGTTCTTCCTTTCCAAGGCACATTGGTGAGGGGAGCCTGGGTCAGAGCTTTGTGGTTTCCCTCTCCGATTGTAGCAGGGGGCGTGTCCACCCTGCAGCATTTGTCAGGCGCCGGCTGAGTGCCAGGCCCCAGGTTCCCCTTCTAGAACCTGGATCCTTCTGTAGACCAAACGCCTCAGTTCCACCCCTGTGAGACCCCGCATGGTTTGGGGCCTCGGCACAGAGAAAGACAAACCTTATGCAGACCACAGTCCTGGGTGATAGGTCTCCTGTTGGGGAGCACAGGGGTCAGGGGAAGCAATCCTGGATGGCTTCCTGGAGGCTGAAGTTTCCTGGGCCAGATCTGCAGGAGCAGTGTCAGCCAGCTGCACTGGGGGAAGTGGACCTACCCACAAACCCCTAGACAGAGAGGCAGATGTGGAGGGGCACTATGCTCTGGTCCTGACTGCTGTGTAAATCACGCTGACCTGCCTGGCCCTAGGTAAGGTGGGTCCAGGCTCCTGCCCAGAATATCAGGGCGGTAGGGTGGGGGACAGTGCAGGGGAGGACCAGACAGCAGCAGGAGCAGGTCAGGGTGGGGTCAGAGTATGCTTAGGAGTCAGAACGTCTGGCACGGGGTCCTGGTGTGTAGCTGACTAGCTGGGTGGCACCAGGCCACTTCCCTGACAGTTCTCGGTTTTCTCGTCTGCACAAGGGCTTCGGCCCAGCAGGTCCCTGGCACCTGGTCACTGCTCAGTAAACGTTAAACGCCACTGGTAGCCAAATTAGCATCACTCAGGGTCTTCCATGACTTTGGGACCAGCTGTCTGGGGAATGGGCCTTCCCAGGGCTCGTGCACATGTTCTGTGTCACCCATGTGATGTTCTTCTATCCTTCCATTTATCTTATTGCTATTTTCTTTTTTGTGAGAGTTTGTTTGTTTGCTTGCTTTAGGTCACATGCGCTCCCAGGAGAGACAGAGACACAGAAAGCAAGAAATCACCCCCCAGGGAGATGGCAATGCCACAATCCCTTCTGCATTCTCCTCTCAGGACTTTGGGCACATGTGCCCAGCATGAGTTTTAAGCCCCCGGGTCCAGGACTCGAACCACGGTTGAGTATGTGGGAGTCCAGTGACATAATCATTACACCTTCTGCTGGTCCAAGTATATCCTTCAATTAAAAAATAATAATAATAATAATTTAGGGGCCAGACTGTGGTGTGGTTAGAGCAGCTGGATCCTATGTGGCAGTGTGGTTCAAATCCTGGACCCAGCAGCTTGAAAAACATGCTGGATGCATATGCATACATGCCCAGAATCTCAAAAGGAGGGAGAGAGGTGGAGAAGAGATCACAGCTTGCCCATGCTGCATGAGCAGGTGTTTTCTCACTTTCCTCTCTTTCTCTGTCTCTCTCTGACTCTCCGATGACCTTGCATGCTTTCTAACAAATTTTTTTAAATTATTTTTGAAATTTACAATGAAAAGAAAACCTTTTTGTTGTTTTTGTCAGAGTGCATGTATGTGCACCACACAGAGACAGAGGGAGGGAGAGAGAAGAAACACCCTCCAATGAGGTATAACCACACCACAATCTCTTCTCCTGTTTTCCCATCCTATTGGGATTTAGGGAACATATGCTCATGCACCTGGCATGTTTTCCAAGCTGCCACAGCCAGGGTTCAGCCATGTGAGAGCCAACTTGCTTAACCACCAAGTCCTAGGGCTGGCCCAGAGAGACCTTTTTCTTGTTGTTTAGGTTTTAGCCATTGGGTGCGTGCACTCACTGGAGAGAGAGAGTGAGAGGGGGAGTAAGGAATCACCCCCCCATACTGCAAGCCCTTCTCCTCCTGGGATTTTGGGCATGCACGCACATACACCTGGCATGAGTCCCACCAGATCCAGGACTCGAACTATGGTCAGCCATGTGGAAGTCCAGTGCTTTAACCACCATGCCACCTCTGGCCCCCAGAAAAACATTTCGACATGGTAGTACATTCAGGAGACAGTACGTGAAAAGCCAGTCTCGACGGTAGCACGACTGCTGTCAACACCTTGCTGTCTGTGTGTCCGGAGTCGGGAATGGCCCTCTGTCCACACAGGCAGCTGTTTGGGCCTTTTCCGAGCTGCAAAGCTGCGCGGGCTGGAATAACTTGATCGGTTTGGCTGTTGCCTAGGCAGTGGGCCCTTCGGTTATTTCCAAAGTTGTGAGCCCGCAGACAAAGCAGTGCATGACCGGGCTTGTCCGCGCTCACGTGCCTGTGGCACACACGCACATCGCGGGACGGGCTCTCACCCTGAAATCCTGATTCCTGCCCTCTCTCGGCACTCAGAAACTCTGGCCTCCGTGGGTCCACAGTCCCACATGGCAGTGGTCTACGAGACAGTGGCCAGTCTTTAGCAGCCCTACAGTCTCCAAGGTACTGCTTCCCCATGAATGCCTGACTCACTGCCTGGAGTCCTGCTTGATGGCGTTGGGCAGGGCCTGGCCCTCTGGGATTAAAGGCTGTTTGTAGCCTCTGCCTGCAAAGGCGATCAGGTAATGCCATGAAGACTCCACTTAAAAAAAAAAAAAGAAAAGAAGAAAAGAAGAGAGGCCAGCAGGTAGTGTGGAGGTTAAGGCACGGAACTCCCACATGGCCGACCGTGGTTTAAGCCCTGGACCTGGTGACTTGAAAATCATGCTGGGGTTGTGTGTCCATGTGTGCCCAAAATCCCAGGAGGAGAGTGGAAGAGAAGGGATGGTGATGTGGCAGCCCCTCGGGAGGGCGATTTCTCACTTGACCTCTCACTGTCACTCTGTCCCTCTCGTTGTGCCCTAGAGCAAAGCAAACACACAGCAGAGCCAATTAAGTTCCCTCAGCTGTGTCCAGAGAGAGCCCAAAGGGGCCCTAGAGACCAGAAGTCCGGTCCTGTCTGCCAAAGAATTGGTCATACAGGGCAACTTTGTGGGCATGGGACATGTGCCAGGGGCTTGCTGTCAGAGGGCCCTGTGCTTGGTAGAATCCATCTGGCTCTGAGTGGACCTCCCCCTCCTGCGGGCCTCCGTGATAGCATCTGTGAAGTAGGCAGGTCGGGCCTTCCCTTACTGGGATTCCGTAAGCCCAGGCTGTGGCTGGCACCATTGACCCTCGGACTCAGTGAAGAGCCCGGTGGCCCAGTGTGGCCTGGCTTTGCTCCACCGCCCTCTGCAGCCCTCCGCTGGGCCGGCACGGACTCATCCCGGCTCCTCTCTCCACAGGCAAGCGCTTCCAGGAGTGGTGCTCCGTGATCCTGTGCTTCAGCCTCATCGCCCACAACCTGGTCTACCTGCTGCTGCTGGCGCGCTGGGAGCACACGCCCCTCGTCATCCTGGGCGTCGGTGAGTGCCTGAGGGGCCACTGCCAGGGGCCTGGGACCTGCCTGGTGTCTGCTCCTCCCTGACAGTGACTCGAAGGCGTGCCTGCGTGTGCACGGGTCTGTGGGTGTGCACGCTCCTGGGTGTGTTTGAGTCAGGGCTCGGTCAGCGGCACGTGTCCTGTCACTTGTCCTCATTTCTTCTCAGGGTCTGTGCTCAGCGGTCACCTCTGCGAGAAGGTCCCACCTGGTTGACCCTCAAAAGTAGCAGCTCTGTCCACAAAGAGCTGACCGCTGACCGTTTGTCTCCCCTACTCAGCGGGCAGGCAGCTTCCCGAGGCAAAGATTGTGGTCTCTTGCATTAACCACTGTCCCAGCCCTAAACCCCAGGCCTGGCACACAGCAGGTGCTCAATATTCATCCAATCATTAAGTGAATGAGCAGCTGCAATTCTTTTTTGAGAGAGATTTTTGCTATAATGTGCTTGCCATAGAGACAGAAAGCAAGAAATCGCACCCCGGGGAAATGGCCACGCCATAATCCCTTCTCCTCCATTGTCCTCTGGAGATTTGGGGGCACGCACGCACCTCACTGTCACTCTGTCCCTCTCGTTGTGCCCTAGAGCAAAGCAAACACACAGCAGAGCCAATTAAGTTCCCTCAGCTGTGTCCAGAGAGAGCCCAAAGGGGCCCTAGAGACCAGAAGTCCGGTCCTGTCTGCCAAAGAATTGGTCATACAGGGCAACTTTGTGGGCATGGGACATGTGCCAGGGGCTTGCTGTCAGAGGGCCCTGTGCTTGGTAGAATCCATCTGGCTCTGAGTGGACCTCCCCCTCCTGCGGGCCTCCGTGATAGCATCTGTGAAGTAGGCAGGTCGGGCCTTCCCTTACTGGGATTCCGTAAGCCCAGGCTGTGGCTGGCACCATTGACCCTCGGACTCAGTGAAGAGCCCGGTGGCCCAGTGTGGCCTGGCTTTGCTCCACCGCCCTCTGCAGCCCTCCGCTGGGCCGGCACGGACTCATCCCGGCTCCTCTCTCCACAGGCAAGCGCTTCCAGGAGTGGTGCTCCGTGATCCTGTGCTTCAGCCTCATCGCCCACAACCTGGTCTACCTGCTGCTGCTGGCGCGCTGGGAGCACACGCCCCTCGTCATCCTGGGCGTCGGTGAGTGCCTGAGGGGCCACTGCCAGGGGCCTGGGACCTGCCTGGTGTCTGCTCCTCCCTGACAGTGACTCGAAGGCGTGCCTGCGTGTGCACGGGTCTGTGGGTGTGCACGCTCCTGGGTGTGTTTGAGTCAGGGCTCGGTCAGCGGCACGTGTCCTGTCACTTGTCCTCATTTCTTCTCAGGGTCTGTGCTCAGCGGTCACCTCTGCGAGAAGGTCCCACCTGGTTGACCCTCAAAAGTAGCAGCTCTGTCCACAAAGAGCTGACCGCTGACCGTTTGTCTCCCCTACTCAGCGGGCAGGCAGCTTCCCGAGGCAAAGATTGTGGTCTCTTGCATTAACCACTGTCCCAGCCCTAAACCCCAGGCCTGGCACACAGCAGGTGCTCAATATTCATCCAATCATTAAGTGAATGAGCAGCTGCAATTCTTTTTTGAGAGAGATTTTTGCTATAATGTGCTTGCCATAGAGACAGAAAGCAAGAAATCGCACCCCGGGGAAATGGCCACGCCATAATCCCTTCTCCTCCATTGTCCTCTGGAGATTTGGGGGCACGCACGCACACGCACCCGGCGTGCGTTTCAAGCTGCTGGGTCCATGACTCGAACTGTGGTTGACCATGTGGGAGTCCAGCACCTTAGCCACCACACCACCTGCTGGTCCCGAGCAAGCTGCAATTTATTAGTACCCTCTGGTGTCTTCCTTCAGTCAGTCCCCGCCCGTCCGCAGCCTGGGAGGCAGATGCTATGGTTGAGGAAACAGCCTCAGAGCAGGGTCCGGCTCAGATCGTACCTCGAGCCAGAGAGGCGCAGCCTGGCTCTCACTGTGCCTTCTCTGCCCCAGGCCCGGGGCTGACTCGGTTTCCTTGCCCTCTGAGCACTACCCCTCCTCTGTTCCCTCTAATCGGGTGCTCACCCCCCTGTCCTGGGCCCCAGGCTGAGGGGCAGCTGTGCCCTCTGTCCTGCCTGGCCCTCCCACGATCTCATTAAAACCGTTCTGGTTGCCTAAGCCGATGGTGCTCAGGCCAGCTAATTGAGCCATCTGTGTGTGGGTGGGGTCAGGTGTGTGCTGGGGGGCGGGGCTGGGCCAGCTGGAGGGGAGAAGTTAACCTATCCAGTGTCAGGGCACCTGGACGGGAGCCAGGCCTCCCTGAGAGGGGGCCCTGCAGTCCCAACCGGTCTGCCTCGGAGCACCACGTTCAAGGGCAGGAGTTAGACAGTGAGCCTCAAAGTCTCACCTGGGGGTGGTTATGAGCAGGGCCTGAACTCAGGTCCCAGTTCTGTCACCTCCCAGCCGTGTGACCTTGGAAAGTGTCATTGCATGTGAGCCTCATTTTGCACACGTGTAAAGTGAGGCTGGCCACGCGACCTCCTCTGAGGCCGTGGTGAAAACAGAATGCAGGTGTGCGGCAGTGCCGAGAAGGCCAGGGACTGGGCAGAGGTGGGGAGGGCGCTGCCCACAGCTGGCTCCTCAGCCCCACCGGTCAGTTTAATGGTGGTGGTTTTGCGAGTGCCTCCCATGCTCCAAGCTAGGCATGTTCACTTGGTGGCAACCTGGGGGGACTCTAGTCGCCATCCTCCATGTGGCCTGGCCAGTGCCTGTGGCCCTCACCCAGGCTTGACAAAGTCTAGGATCACAAGTTCAGACCTGCATGGGGCTCAAACCACAGACTTCCCCCTCAGGGCCTGGATGTTCTTCAGTTCACATTGGGCCAAGGGTGTTCTAGGCAGTGGCCTGGCGTGGTCATGAGATCCGGAGGCTCAGAGCCCAGGAGTGTGCCGTGTAAGCCAGGAGGGTGGGTGTCCCGGGCAGTCCCCACCTCCTTCCCTGGCGGGGACTTGATCTTCCAGGCTCCAGCCCGAATCACCGACTGTTGAGCCACTGTGCAGCGCCACGTCCCCAGCCCACACCTTTCCTCTGGACTGATAAGTGCAGTCCCCTGATAATGCTGTTTGCACAGGCCCTAATCGATTTAAATAGCCGCCCTGATTTGTGTGCTAACACGCAGGAAGTGAGGGCACCGTGCCAGCTTTCGGAGCTGCCCCTTTCCCGCCGTCGTCTCCCCAGGGTGCTGGTGTCCCAGGCAGGGCTGGCAGAAGCGCTGAAGGTGTCCAGTTAGTAAACAGGCACACGCGGCACAATGCCAGGAAGCAAAATCAGGATACGGGACTGGGCAGGAAAGACCTTTCTAGAGGGGTGATATTTGCTTGAGACCTGAAGGAAGGGAGGGAGGGGCGTTCCAGGCCGAGGCCACAGAACGTGCACCTGCAGCTGGCCTGCGCCCCTGTGCTGCATACTGGAGAGGAGGCCAGTGTGGCTGGAGAGGGCCCACCTAGAGGGCTGCCTTCTGGACTTGGGATTTAATTCTTCAGGCCAGGAGAAGCCACGGGGTTTCCCACAGGGGCTGCCCTCAGCTGATGCTGCAGGGAGGGTTGGGAGAGGGCCAGGGAGGTGGCCTTGCCATGGTCCAGCCCAGTGAAGGTGGCCCGGGCCCGGGTGGCATGGTGGGGGTGGGCATGAGCTGCAAGGATACGCTGCCAGGTTCGGTGTGAGCGCATGAAAGAGGGAAGATAAGTGGCAGGTGCTCAGCCCGAGTGGCGGGAGGGAAGAGGCTGCCGAGGGCAGGGGCAGGTGCGAGCAGAGCAGGCCTGCGGGAGCGTGTGAGCAGGAGATCGGAAGTCAGGGTGCGGCAGGAGAGGTGGCTGGAGCCGGGAGCCCAGGAGCTGCCGTGCAGAAGTGGCATCGAGAGCTCAGGGACTGGTGGTGGCCGGTGTAGGCGGAGAACAAACAGGGTCTCCAGGCCGCCATGCCTTCCACTGGGGAGGAGAGCCTGCCAGGGACTGCAGTGGCCGTGAGGAGAGTGTTTCCAGAAGACCTGGGGATAAACGAGGACCAGCCACCAAGTGGACTGGCAAGATGGGGCCACAGAGGGTCCACCGGGTTTGGTCACGTGGAAGTCCTTAGTGACCTTAGCGACCCTGACAAGGACAGTGTTGTGAAGTAATGACTGAACACCCGACGGCCTCGGAGCCCTGTGTGTGTGCGCCACTTGGGGACGTGGAGGGAGTGTGGAAACTCCCCACCTGGGCGAGCCACGTGGCCCTTGAAGGAGTGAGTCGGAGCCCTCCGGGGAGTGCAGAGGGCAGGGATGAGTAAGTGCCGAGGTCAGCACTGAGGTCTGGGAGCTCACATGGCCTTGGGTCCTGGCCGGGGAGGTCACCTGGGCAGTCTAGATGTGACTGTGAGCTGGAAGGTGGTAAGGACAGCTTTGAGCCCAAGGTTCCCGTGAGTCAGGGTAGTCCGGGTGAGTCACCCCACCCTTTCTCTGTCTCAGGATTCTACAGGAAGGGCCAGAGCCACCCCCACTGCCAGCCGCCACCCCAGAGCTGGGACAAAGAGGCTTCTGTGTGCCCGGCTCTACCACCCCTGCCCCCATGAAAGGCGCCTTGGGCAGCAGGCCTGGAGTTGTGGCTCTGGAAACAGCCACGGAGGCCCAGGGATCAGAGCCTTTCCTCCCAGAGGGGCCAGAGGGCACCTTCTCTCCTAAAAGAATCCCTGGCCTCTGTCCAGGGCACGTGCTCCCCCTGCTCAGCAGCCTGAAGGCCAGGTGCTGGCCTCTGACAGGTGACAAGCCCAGGGCTCTAAGAGGGGTGTCACACGTGCACCACTCACCATGGCCACGCTGAGGGACCCGACAGTCCCGGCGGGTACGAGTTATTCTGCAGCCTGTCTTACTAACTTGTGGCTCAGAGGGGGAGGGCCTGTCCAAGGCCCCATTTCCCAGGCCTGGAAAGGCATGTCATCATGAGTGACCTTGTCATTGGCCACTCTCCAGCGGCCCTGGCCCCGTGTGGCCTCAGCTGTC